AATGGACCAGCAAATATAGATAAACAGAATCCCTAAAGAAAGCCCAGCACGGCAAATTTGACAATTTTGCAGGCTCGGTTTGATTGAGCCTGTTCATAAACCTACCAGCTTCCAACAACATGTAATATGTCAACGCAAATGTGCAGACAGTAAATTTTGAGCATCTTTCGAAACTCTTTCTACAGTAAACCCAATATGAAAACCTTTTAAAAACCCCTCTTTAAGTAATTCAGCATCTGTTTTATTTACATTCGCATAGATGTTCAAATATGAAGTAAGTAATGGTACACTGATAGGTGATTTCTTTAGGCTTTGTACATTCGGGGGAGTAAATCTTGGTCTAACTTCAAATCTAGGCCTGACAAAGTGTGGGCTCCGGGGGCAGATGCCCTGCTTGGCCTGAACTGCATCCTGCTAAAATAAGACCTACATATGTTAAAAGGATGATTACCACGACAGTTCAACCAAATGTGCCTATATGGACATTGCACTCTAGTACTCTATTGTAATTAAAATCATAGCACTTTTTTGGCCTTTCAGTAAACGCACCATAATGATTGGAAGGTCCAAGAGCAACCACAGCTCAAAATAAATCCTATCAAAACAAATACCAGTAGGGTCGGCTGCAAGACGCAAACGGAACTGTTGATCATAAGCTTTCAATCCCATATAAAATGTGTCTATTACCATGTTTACATTCTGATTAAGCCGGTGTATGATTGCCGTTGACGGTAGCTTGCACTTACCACCGTTGACGGTAGCGCTTGCACTTACCACTACTTGCAATGTCAGGCTCGATCGACCAATACTTATCGGGTCTGGAACATTTATAATTATGCCGTTCTGATCATTGTTGTTTTTTGTTGTTCTTGTTGTTCTCTTTTCTATTGTTGTGTACCTCATTTTTATTAATATAATGATTTCAGTTGTTCGATGTGTGTTTCTAAATCGTTTCTCATTATTTGCGGATCTATTAATTTATGTTTAATCAACTAAGCACGGAAAAATAACATGTTACTAAAAAGTCTACAGACAAAAAACAATCTACTAGATTATTGCTATGATAAAAATCTGGAAAAGGGTCATCCCTCGAAAGCATAAAAAACAAAGTTACATGGACATTCGGTTCGATTTGATAAGGTATGTACATGACGTATAATGTTAGTACAACATTCCCCAAGACCCATAGCATCAGCTTGAGAGGTACTGAAGTTAAAAACTTAATATTTTGGAATCAATGACAAAGAAGGACCAAGGAACAATATAACAAGTGATGTAAGGATCAACAGTTTTAAAATATAATAAATTCAATATTTAATATTCATTATCTAGAAACCAAGAACAAAAATAAATGAATAAAATTTAAAAAGATAAAAGCTACTGACTTACATAAAACAAAGTTTTACTTTTACTCTTCAAACATACAGACACTGCAGTACAGTAGCTTAAATTAAACAAACGATATAGTCGGTCGTTATAATACTTCAGAATATTGAATACAATCAAGATCCATAGGCTTTTGATAATTTAACAGTAAACAACGCAACCAGATTGTTTACAAATATAAAAAAATGATAACTTGTATCATATTCTAATTACAGTTTTATATTGCAAACTTATTGTGTACCTTTATCTGATTTTGCATTACGTGAACAATTGTAGATGTCGAATGTAAAATCATTAAGTATATATATTTATATATTATATACAAACTTTGTAATCATTTCATAAAATGTAACATCTGCAAACGACAGACCATCCTTTCTTGTCTTTATAGAGTTGCCAGGTTTTTTACCCAAGGACTTTTTTACAGACAGTTACTAAATGGCTTCTTTGCTCAATAAGGCTTTACATAGATTTACAGGGTAGATGAAGAACATTTATGAAGTGAAGGACTTGATTTCATACTAATATTTGTCCTTCCGTAATAATACCCTTCATTAACAACAACCAAGTCAGAATATATATATCTTTGAATGTTTAATTTTTAGTCCTCCCGCTTTTGTAGTTATTTGTTCTTATTATTATCAGAACCAGATCCATATTGTTTAATGATGAAAATAAAATTTTAGGTGTTTCACCTCTACTGTAAAGTATTTTTTCTACATTTTGACTTCCTGTTTCGTTTATGTGACTAATACCATGCATGTATTGCCTTTAATTATGTAACTGGATTATGTTGGGGATTCGTTCATCAAATATCGGCCTTTTCATGTTGATCTACGTTCTGATCTGTCACATTACATCTGCTTAACGTGTGTCTGTTCATGTAGCTTAATAAGGCGGGCATTAGAGTTCTAGATATCGTTGGTTTGATGCTCGGGTGAGGCTAAATTGTATTTGTGTAATTATGCTTTTTTTAAAAAAGAATCAGCACAATTTTCACAATCATACTCTAATAACAGTTTCATGTTTCAAACTTATTGTGTACCTTAATCTGATTTAGCATTACGTGAATAATGATAAATATCGGACGTTATTTCATTGTGTATGATATTAGATACAAAGATTGTAAGCGTTTCATTGCATGTAACATGTCCAAATGACATAAATTCCTTTCTTGTCTTTAAAGAGATGTCAGGTCTTTTTCCAATGACTTCTTTTCATAAAGTTACTTAATTAAAATTCTCGCTATTTCTTTGCTCGATATAGCTATACATAGGTAGATACATACATTTTATGAAGTCAATCACTCGATTAGATACTTTTCTAAAAATAATGCGTTTTATAAAGGACAAAGACTATATAATTTTCTGTTCATTTATCCAAAAGTTTGTCTTTTAATCTGCTTCTAATCACTTTCGTTTCACGCAGTATGTTTTTATCGTCTGACTAATGTATTTTTTTATAAAAGACGATGTCAACAACGTTCGTGCAGTCTGACCATGTCTTAAACTATTGGCTAAAATCTTTAAATTTTCATATTGATAAATCAACAATTGAAAATGGACAGTCCAAAAATGAGATGAAAAATACTTTGCGATTGCTATAGAATGACTCTATTAATACAAGGAATGGTATCATTGTTCTATATCTTATAATTAAAAAAGTGTCAAAACTTGAATCTATTTTGAACAGTTTATGTTCCGCAGATTATGGACAACAAACTGTTCAACATGTTACAATAGAACGGCAGATCATTAATGTCGGCCTATAATAGCAAAATATGTATACATGTGTGAGCATTGTCAGTGTTATTTTAGCCTCTTTGAATCTAGAATCAACCGACACGAAAGCCTTGCATTGACACCGAGCATGTATATTGTTTGTATGATTTATGTGGTATTGATGTTAAACCGGCAAATCAATTCATGTTTTGTTAATATTCTTGTTGTTTAATTTAGTTATTCTGGCTTTCTCGTATTTACTGTCATATAAATAATAGGTTTTTTGTACAGTCAGTTTGATACTCAAATAATTATTTTCTACATTTAGACTTTGCTCAATATTTATGTGGCTAATACCATCTACATGATCTATGTATTGCCGGTTATTCTGTTTTACTGGTTTATGGTATGGATGCCTTCTTTGAATGACGCCCTTGTTAATCTGTCTTCTGATCTTTATTCTGTCATTTTCTATTTGCATATTATTTGTCTGTCTGCTGAGTTCAACAAGGTCAGCATTATAGTTTTTAACTCGGATGTCTTTGGCTAGATCCTTAGGCAAAACCGAATTGTCTGAAATTGAGCATAATGGTCTTTTGTCTCTCATCGTTGATTCACATGGGATACGTAGCCATGTACTTGCGGTAAAATTAGTATGTGCTGGTTAGATAATCAGAAAAGCCTGAAACGAGTACAGAAGGCCTAGATATACCCTAAATGTGTTAAAGTTGGCGTGAAACACAACAACAGATAAAGTAACAATCAGTGATATATTTAGGTTAATTTAACTCATTAAATGACATTTTGTAATTGAGTACCTACATCTTCTTTTATTTCAGTTTTATATATATTCTTAGTATATATATATTTTAATGACTTGTTTCCTAATTGAATTATTTTTTTCTGTCACTCAATCTTTTTCACTTAAATGTTTATCCAACGTTTAAAGGTTATCAAGCTATATCACGACACATTAATATTTTTATAAAATATATAAATGGTAAACAGTTTGCATTCATAGTTTTCCATCGGCTCTTGAAAATAAATGCAATGTAGAAAATCTAATACATCCCAACCACATGAATATTGTTAACAGATAATAATGCTCAAATTAAAGCTACTCTCCCAAACAAAACGGTATAAGAATATGTATAAAAGTACAATTTGCAGTTTGCATGCGATAATTATGACGTCACGGATGTAATGTTTAACTTCGCACTGATATAAACAACCCTTTTATCACATCCGTGACCATGTTGCGAGTAGAACAGCTTGATGCAGTTAGAACTTACTATATCAATGTCAGTTTACATAAACCGGATAACGGATATATGCACTTCGTTCTTTTTTTGTCTCTTTTTATATATAATACATTCTGCAGCAATCGATTGCAGAATAAAACAAATACCAAGCGCGCATTTATTTCTTTATAATTTACTTGTCACAGACGCATGTCGTTAAACATAATTTTGCAATAATTATGATAAAAGATTTGTTTTAAGCAAAAAGACATACATGTTTATATATATATAGTAAAAGACAGTCAGTAAATGATGTATTTTCAAAAATCGGTATACGATACACTCTATGATTATTGTTAACAGAACATTTGCGGTTGATGGATATGAAAACAATTTAAATCGTTATCGTAACGTTTCGTATACTTTAACTGAGTTTGTTATTCTACGTAATTTGGTTGTGATTAAAGCTTCCGGGGGATCACTAGTTTCCAGATTAATAAAAGGAGAATATATTTAGACATAATATACATTTTAATTGTTTTGTGACATTTTCCATTTTGTGTTTTATGGAAGGTAATTGTTTTCTGTAGTTACCATAATATTTGAGCTGTAATTACTACAGTAACGTTATTTACCACTCTTTCATTTTCAGATTGTCCGGAAGAACTGAATAAACAAGGGACAAGACAAGGCAAGATGGATTAATTATAACGTCAAATTTAACTGACAATGCGGAGGACTTTTATATGTCCTGGCACGAATACCACACAGTGACTGCTCAGATGATAGATTTATCGAAATTCAGCGCTAGTGATATAGCATTGTAATATTCCTATCAGTTGTGACTAGGCAGTATAAATGTTATAAACGCATTCTCTAAGCAGCAGTGCTATAGGAAACAAGATTTCGATAAAAAATTATTGGAAAAAAACAACAAAGTCAAAACAGACGATATTTATATTAAGATATTTTTTTCTAAATAGGAAATTTAGCAAGAACAGTTGGAATTTCTATATTCATAGAAACATTTCTTGAATTCAAGTATCCAATTATCTCGCCGAAACAAATATGGAATTAAATGGCAGTGATTTTACAACAAAAAACACAACGGAGAAAGTAAAAGAGTATTTTCGAGATGGAAAAAAATTTGAATTAACAGAAGAAGCGATGATGAAAGTTAACATTTGGCCGCTTATTTTAACGTTTATTTTTGCAGTTCTTGGATTTATCGGAAATAGTATTGTCATATACATCTACTGGAGGAAGTATAAGAAAACTAAAACACGTGTATTTATTTTGACCTTGGGAATACTAGACTGGTTAAACTGTGCTTTTAACATGCCAGTTGAAATAGTCGTTTTGTGGAATCCGCTGTCATTTGATTTACATTACTTGTGTAAAATATCACGTGGATGTACATTCGTTATAAACAATACAGGATCATTAGTACTTGTTTCAATAGCCATAGAACGGTATATTGTTGTGTATCATCCCCTCAAAAACAGACAACTGACACCGAAATTCGCGAAGGTAATGTGTCTTCTAGCGTTCGTAATTTCTTCAATATTTTCATGGCCGTCCTTTGTTTTTTACGGAAGTCATACACTCACTATAGAAATTGCTAAGGATCATTTCGTTGAAGGTAAAACTTGTTTAATTGCTGATGAGCATGAGTTTCGAACAGGACTACTGCTAATTTTTACCACTGTGCTCTTTGTCCTGCTAGTTTTAACGTTTTTAATATTAACTGTCTTGTATATCGCCATTGGACGTAAAATATACATTGCAACATGCACAGATCTTACAGATAAAGGAAAGGGGGAAGTGACACGTTTGTTTAGTAAGAGTATAATTTCGGCAATAACTGGAGTTGCCAAGCCAACAGAATTGAAAAGAAACTCAACATGTAGACATGTAACAACCATCAATAGTGTTAAGATAAAAAGAAATTCGCAAAATATTCAGGAACGATCGTTTTCAATCGTGAGTGAAAATGAGGAATCTAAAATGCCATCAGATTCCAATGAAAAATTGTCGTCTATGAGACGAAATAGTCGGAAATTCTCAACAGTCAAAGTAAAGGCAACACGGAAAAACACTGTAATGATGCGAATGGTTACAATTGCATTCATGCTGTCATTTACACCATTTCTTTGCATTCTGATTATACGTTATACAAACCCTATGTATTATTTTGGATTAAAAACTCCCGGCAAAATTGCCTACGCCGTTTTCCTAAGAACATATTTTATAAACAGCATGGTAAATCCATTTATATATGGTTTCATGAATTTGCAATTCAGGAAAACGGTAAAAGATTTATTTTCAAAGATCTTCTGTAGTAAATGTTGCAGAAGAAATAACATGTTATCTAGCAATGTGTAATTTTTAAGATTATTTTTTTCTTCTTTTTGTCATTATTGTAGACATTATAAAAAGCTAAGTTAGTTAGCTAACAATATGTGTCTTAAAAGGCTAGCGGATGTAAGCAGTCGGGTCTGCCTCTATACTGGTGTCAAAGACTGTCAAGCAGTACAAGATTTGAAGAGTTTTTTTTAACACAATAATGGTTAATGAAGAGTTTTCCTTTATAGAACTATAAGTTAAAAGAAAATGTAAATTTATGTGTTCAAAATACAATGTAAATACACCACTTTAAACAGGCTTATCGAAGTATAACCTAAATCATACTTGTATATTTTTATTATCAAGTTAAATCTACTTATGTTTCTAAGTTATGTCACTTAATCGTACATTTAGACAAGCTTTACATGATGTGCATAGATTTATAAAAACAGTGAATATGTGATAAATGCTTTCTTTTCTATGTAATATCTTAGCTTAAAGTGGCCTTCAGTTTTTTCTCTTCTGGTGGTCAAACGATTCCGTGTTGTTAAGTAAGTATTTCATAAATGTTATCTTTGAGAAGAACATCATAATACTGTAAATCTCCTTTAAGCCGTCTTCAAAATCCTGCGTCCCGAGAGCTATTTTATAACGCATATAATGTGACTTTCCTTTCTAAAACTTAGAAGATTGGGAAATGAATGAATTGTCCGCTTTACTTGGGAAATGAATGAATTGTCCGCTTTACTTATTTAAATATAGAGAGTGGACGAGTAGATAAGGGGTATCGAGGTGTGTTCTTCATTTTCCACCTCTATTCTTTTGATATGACAATTAAATGAAAAGATTTATCTAAAACAAACATAATTATTTAAAGTTTAGAATAACCTTTATCCCAAACCAGATAATGTTTTCCATGGGCAATTTCAGCAATTCCAAAAGTTCACTAAAACCAAATATTTAACTGTATAACGACTGACTGTTTTTCGTTCGTTGAAGGTGGTTAACTGTGATGCTTAAGATTATTTTGAACATTCATCAGTGCATGAATGGTCTTAAACATTTTATGTACTTGACGTTTCTAAAGGTTTCTATTCCCCAAACATGTGCCATTATATCTAGAATTGTCTCACATGCCCCGTGACAATAATATCTTTTGGGCATAATGGGGCAAAAGTTAGGTTATTGATCATCAGTATACGTTTATGTTTTCTTTTGATAGTATATGAGACTTTAAACAATGGAATTTTGTTTCAGTTTTATAAAATAGAGGAAGAAAGAATAGCTAAAAATGCCAAAAATAGTTAAACTGAAAAGACATGGTTTAATTAAGCCTATTCATGGCAGTGGTATTTACAAGCTACAGTCTCCATCCCTAGCACCGGTTTAAGCGGAATTCAATTGGAAAAACTTTGAATTTTGAAACATCAGCAGGTGTGTTTCATAAGGCGGTTATCAAGTAGCACTCTGTGTTTTGTTAAACATAAGTAAACTAAGAGAGATAATGAAAATGTGCTTTCCTATTTCTTTTGTATAATTAATACATATCTATTTCTTTATATATAGAACTGTCTGTATTTTCCCAAAATATTAAGTGGCATAAAGATAATTTCAATTAATTGTTTTAACTGTGAATAAGTGGTTATTTTCTGTTTTCTGCTATGTTGGGTTATTAAATTAACTGATAATAATACTGTAATATATTTTTATTGAATCACACAACCATATTTTGCTTTTGGCGACAATGTTACATTGATGTTTATTTTTAAACTTAACTGTAACTGTTAGATCTTGATTGTTACTGTTTATCTATAGCGGTGTGTGTATAGAAAGAGATGGTGTGCTTATTTGTTAGTTTGATAATTATGTAAAAAAGGCCAGTGCAGTCATTTTGTCGATTTGTGATCAAATGTTTGTCATGAAAATAATTGTATTATTGTACTGCTATATGAAGGTACAATCTATAAACTAACATTTTGATATACATACCCTTAGATATGCTTTCATGTATGAGCGCAATTTTGAGATCTTCTTTTTTTAGTATGGTTGTAACAAAGTAACAAATATGGTCATTACACTTTTGTGTGAAGACTGTGAATGGATTAGTTGGCATCTAGTAATGACAGTGTAGCTGAAGTGTAGCTGAAATGAAACGATTTAACTGGACAAAATACATGTATAATGTCAACCAATTAATCTATTTATAATGTATTTGTCATGTGATTTAAATTATTTAAGATAGTTCTTATAAATTCGCAATGGTTATATATCAATATGTTTAACTGTTACACCATTGACACAACTATACTGATAGTAATTATAACTATGTATCTTATTCAACGTCCTCTTTTATATTATTTCTGTACGTTACCATATTGTTTTACAAATGGAAATAAGATTTATTTTGAAACTAGGTTAGCGGTCTATATTTATTTACTTTTTTATTTATTTACGTATTTATTTACTGTTGGCCACCCAATATATCTTGATATGTACAAGTCTGGCAAAAATGACGGCCTTTTAATACCACATCATTGTGGTAGACTACTTTCATATGGAACGCAGTACCTTGGTGATAAAGGCTCCGGACATTATGATATAATGCATCATACAATGATATGTTTACCCGGGTATTTAGAATTTCTTTTCTGTCCACGGTAACCCGCCCACAAGAAAGACGTGGGACGTGTTCAATATTGCCTTGTTATGAGTTATTGCCAAAACACTGTTGTAAACATGGTAATTAAGATGTAATCATTGAAATCAATTATATCAGAGTTATTGAATGAATGCAAAACGCAGACGCACCAACTGATAATCAAAAAAGACAATAACTAGCCGCCGATTGCTATTAACAACTTCGATATTGGTAATATTTTCATCATATATCCCCATGCGCTTTACACGCCAAAAAAAAACAACTTATGATTTGATTTATTATGGGTTTTGTATGTGATACAAAGCCTTTTTACGCCTTGACAAAATAGGAAATCGGTATTGTAATATGATAAGATATGTATGTATATATGTATCAATTAATATGCTTTATCCTTGGCCATTATTCATTATATTTAAAGCACAATGCCTTTAGATTCATGCTAATTATGTTATGAAAATCTTTTAGA